TTGTAAAGAAATGAAACATTTGTTTCCCGCCTCTAGAGAGAAAAAGGGGGGAGAGAAAAGGAGAGTGAGATTATTTAAGAATCACCATCATGACAGTTAGCAAATGGATGTGTTTTTTCTTTGTGGATTTATCACCTGCCCATTCTGTTTGAATTCCTTCTCACACCACTTATGTAAGGTGATACACAGCTGTAGCCAGCGGGTAGAGATGACGGAGTTATGTGATTTGACCTGTTTGCTTCTCTCTTTCTTTACGTGGAAAGTGAGGTGTTGAAATAGACAGCAGCCGTGTTTCTTTCCAGCTTTTCAGACTCCAAAGAATCCAGGAAGAGCCATTTTCTTAAAAGCTGGCATAAATTTGGAGCTCTTAGGGATGGTAATAGGGCTGGGGGAAAACAATGAGGGCGGAAATCACCTTTGAAAGATGGTTTAAAGAGAATCTCTCCTACCCTAAAGCATAATGACATCAGTCAGGATATGGGGAAAGGCCCTGGAATGGAGGGGTAGAGTAGGGTCCTGTGTTGCTTTGTGACAAGACCTGGGTGTGGTTTATGGCAGGAAACTGGAAACAAAATTGCCATTCTTTGCTAAATCAGCCTGGAATGCTCTTCTAAAAACTGACCTTGGAAAAGGCCGCAGACTGACTGAAGTGTTGGACCCTGGCTCCTCAGGCCAGAGCACATTGTAGGCTGGGGAGGCCTCGCTTCTGAAGAGATAGACTTCTGTCTGGAAATAATTTGTTGAGTCTTTTAAGAAACAAGAGATACAGGGACGCCTGGGTGGTTCATTCGGTTGGGCTTCTGACTTCAGCTCAGTTCATGATCTTGCGGTTTGTGAGTTCGAGCCCCACGTCGGGTTCTGGGCTGGCAGCTCGGAGTCTGGAGCCTGCTTCAGATTCTGTGTCTCCCTCTCTCTCTGCCCCTCCCCCACTTGCACTGTGTCTCTGTCTCTCAAAAATGAATAAACATCAAAAAACAAAAAAACAAGAGATACAGAGTTTATAGTGTCCTTCTTTTATACCTCACAGCAAGCAAATGACTTTTTCCGGCATGGATTAGTTTGATCCGAGATAACAGCTACACGTTTACTGATTTGAGCACTTTGGAGATAAGGGCTCTACTCTACAACTTTGAGATTCCTCCACAATTGAGCCTCCCCCTCCCACTCCTGTGCATAATTTGTCTCACAAGACACACACTTCAAATATCACAAATCAGATCTCAGAATTTATTCAGGGTTTGGGGACTAAAATATCTTTGAAAATAATTGTGTCTCAATATGTTTTACATGTCAGGTTTGAAAGTTGACAGCTTAACTATCCTTTTCTTTTAATGACTTATGGTGGACAAATAAAATTTCACACCTCACCAAATTCACCAATACATTTACAATATGAAAGCTTCAGGTTTTCAATAAAACACTGTGCAATGAAGCCAATAAAAAAGGAACTTAAATGCATATTTTTTCCTACATACATAAGCATCTGTTCCAACTTCTGCCTCCTAAAACTGTTGCTTATTTTGTTTCAGCTTTAACCCTTAAAAATAGTGAAAGAATGATCTGGATTGGAATGTTCATTACTTTAACAGCAGGAGTCAAGTTAATCTGCTTCACACCCCATGTTAGACTTACTTTACTCAGTGCTTAAGATATTTAAAAAAGGTCTCTTGGAGGGAGCACTTTTGATCTAGAACTTGGGGTCTCCTGGGGGCATTAACCAGGCAGAGCTTAGACTGACAATGAGTTTGCCACATCTTTCTGAATCCAGACGTAGCTCTCCTCTAGAGTGACCTTGGGAAAGTAATGTGTTCATCCTGGGATGCGGATATACAAGGTAGAGGGCAGCTGCACTTGTTATAAATATCTTGTAAGGTAGGCAAAATGCTGCACTGTGACTCCGGAAGCCAGAAAGCTGGGAAAGAGAGGGCTTATGTGACCTTTCAAGAATACACTGTTCACCCCAAGGAGCTGTGAGTAATTAAAACAGAGAGTTAGCACTTCTCACGGAAGGGATCGATTTACTCCAAATAGCCCGAAGCTTGTGATCACTTGCTAGGATACTCTTGCTCTCACCAAGAGAGGGGAGGAGCAGGGGAGACCCAGTGAGGGCACGATAAACAAGGAACAGTAATCTGAGAAGGGGAAACAAAAGTGGAGTGAGCAATGAAGGGAAGAAGGGAAGAAAAGCGTGCTTCCGGAGGCCCCGTGGCACTTACTGGCAATCCCGGGCTCAGAGCCGCAGAGGCCAGGTGGCTATTTCGGTCTGTTCCCATTATAGAAGCCCATCCCGATGCTGCCCTGAGGAAGGGTGCGGAAACTCGAAATGACAGCCACTCTTCATGTCATTTTCTTTCTCACCAATCTGCACTGACTCCCACACTGCATTTTGCTTTTAAGGATGCCCTGCTGTTCCGGTCCACCTTCATCCTTTCTACACAAGTTCCGGCAACCCCCCAACCACCTTCCACCTTCCCCAGCCAGTCTTCCCTCCTGGCTGCAAGCTCCACACCAGCCCCTCTCTTTCTTTACTCTATTGTTTTCCCTCCTCTCCTCCTTCGCATATGCCCAAAACATCTCCATCCTGTTAGGTCAAGATATAATTTATTTCATCACAATCACTCCCATTGCGTAAAGCTTTACAGCCAACATTGAAACGTGGACCATCACACTTGAGTCCCACTAGGATATTTCCCTCATTATCTTGACCCACATCCATCTGTCCCATGTTCTGTTTCTTGAAGTATTTGTTCACTGAACCAGTTCTGTAGAATCAAACTTTAGGGATGGAAGGCTGTAGTCATCTACATTTTCAACAAGCTCCCCCCTGGAAAAACTGGAGTTAAGAGTAACCCTAAGGAGGCAGAATTTTGACTATGAATATTTACTTTATATTTCTCCATGATGTTTACACATTTTTTTTATCATGATCATGTACAACTTTTATAAGAACAATTCGTGTGGGGGGGCATATATATTTTTTAAAGTCCCAGGTGAATTTGATAGTGTGGGAACCATAGGTCCATAGCAGTCATTTGAATGAGATTTCAGACACGTGCCTTCTTTCATTTCTTACGTTTCCACCAAGACTGACAGGTACTCAAGAGCAAGAAATTGCCCTGTACTTTTCCTGTTTCTCCAGTGCTAGAAATGCCAGGCTCAAAGCAGGCGCTTAAATAAATACTTGAAGGAGTGTGTTTGTTTTTTTTTTAATATTTATTTTATTGTTGACAGAGAGACAGAGAGACAGAGCGTAAGCAGGGGAGAGGCAGAGAGAGAGAGAGAGAGAGAGAGAGGGAGACACAAAATCCAAAGGAGGCTCCAGGCTCTGAACTGTCACTGCAGAGCCTGATGCAGGGCTCAAACCCACGAACCACGAGATCACGACCTGGGACGAAGTCAAATGCTCAATTGACTAAGCCACCCAGGTGTCCTGCTACTTGAACGGGTTTAAATAGACTCCCATTAAACTGGAAAAAATCGGCTAGGGACATATGTGACATGGGTACATTTGAATTTAAAAAAAACAACATTATAATTAGTGGGTTAAAGAAATATACATTCGTAAAACAGAAAAAATATTCAGGTGACACAGTTGACCCTGGGATGACTACAGATTGGCATCAGCGTTCTACTTTAGATCTAACAGCAAAGGATCTTTGGAGGCGTCAGGAAACTATCAGCATGTAGGTATCACAGGGTGGTTCTCTCTTTTGAATCGGACTCATTCTTGAAGTGGTGTGTTCAATTATAAAATCTACAGCTAAAGATGAAATTTAAGTAGTTGGAGAGAGTTAAGAATCAGAAGTTGCTGGTGGGGATGTACAATGATGTAGCCCCTCTGGGAAACAGTCTCAGATTCTTCAAAAAGAGTTAGCATTTGACCCAGCAAATCCATTCCTAGGAATATACTCAAGAGACCTGAAAACATGGGCTTGAAAACATACAAAGACTTTATACAGTTGTTCACAGCAGCATTCTCCAGACTGGCCAATGGATAACCATGACAGCGGATGGACCGACAAAACAAGGTATAGCCAAACAATGGAATATTATTTGGCCATGCAAAGGAACGCTACAACATGAACCTGCCTTGAACACATGCTAAGTGAGAGAAGCCACACACCAAAGGCCACATATTCTATAATTACGTTTGTATAAAATGTCCAGAATGGGCAAACCCATAGAGATAGAAAGTGGATTCAAGATTGCCACGGGCTGGGTGGAAGGGGATGGGAAGTCACTGCTAGTGGGTGTAGAATTCCAGAGTTAGACAGTGGTAATGGTCACACAACTCTGGGAAGGATCTAAAAGCCTCTGAATTGTACGCTTTAAAAGTGTAAATTTTATGGCCTGTGAATTATATTTCAATAAAGCTGTTATTTTTTTTAATTTATTTTTTTAATTCAAGAGGGGTGCCTGGCTAGCTCATTTGGAAAAGCTGACTCTTGATATTGGATTGTGAGTTCAAGCCCCACGTTGGGTGTAGGAATTATTTTTAAAAAATTAACAAATATTTGTAAGTCAAAGGCAACATGGGGAGGGGGGAAATCTGCACAGCAGGTCCTCCAAAGAATGTTAAAATAAAAGGGGGGGGGGAGACAATAAAGCAGTTTTTTTAAGGGCTGCCTTTTCAGGCATGGTTGGCCTTTTTAACTCTTTTTTTAATAAAAAAAAAAAAATTGGATGGCTAGCTGAGGAGAAAATTAGAAGACCTAGATTATAAATACAGCTTCAGGAGTTTGATTTAGGTACAAGGTTTTCCTACAATAGAAGTTGGAATAAGAGGTTTTCTCATCTCTCTTTTTTGGGGTCTTAAATAGTGCTTCGTACAGGTTGTACGCAGGCAGGACGATCTGTGGGAGCCCTTTCTCAAATGCGAGAGGGTTGAACTCGATGACCTTGCAGCTTTTTCTGTCTCTCGGGACACTATCTGTCCTCCGCATTCCGTCTCACACGTGGCCACCAGTGCATTCGTCTCGGTGACATAGGAGAGGAGATGCTACCGTTTCTTGCAAAGTTTTATTTGGCTTCCCTATTCAGTCATAAACACACATTCCTCTTAAGACCGTGAAAGTCTTCTCTTCTAGACAACTAACGTTTTGCTTGCAAACACGACTCGTAGCTGCCTTTGCAACCCAGAATTTCAGTCATGTGGGTGAAAAAAGTAAATTCGCATTATGTACCGACCCCTCCGCACAGGTTATTAATACAGATACCTAGAGTGTACTTGGCTTGGTGAAGCGTTTTCAAACCTCCGCAAGTTTGATTTCAGTTGTATTTGAGAAATAAAATGAGCTCATCCTCGCTCATCTTTTCTAGGATGGAACTGTTTGCGCTGAACTGTTTGCGCTGTTTGCTCCCCAAAGCTGCCTGCTTTGAAGGAGAGAATGGGGACCTCCTTCGGTCCACTCAGCACAGTCTTCCTTACTCTCTGCCAGGGACCCGATTCCCACGATGGTAAAGCAAACTGAGAGACACCTTCAGAGCAAAGAAGTCTCTTTGTGGCCCCGTGACCAGATTCATTTCAGAGCCATTATGTTCTTTATTCTCTGGTTGAGGGGGGAGAGTGCTTCATTTTATGGCAAAGTTTATGTCAGCGCTGGTGCTCTTGCTTTCACCATCACACGTATTCAGAAGTACTCATTCGTTGATTAAACAAAGAAATTCAAACCTTCCTATTTTTGGCGAGTGTTAGAGACCTTCATCCCCCATATCCTCAAATGTTTTGTAACCCAACTGCATGGTTAATAAAGGAGGGATTGTGGACCTACGACCGGGTGTTGTTGAAACTGGGTGTGTTCAGAATATTGGCTAAAGAGAAATGCTTGCCAAATCATGATGCACTTCACCTCCTCTGGAGCACCCCCTCTGCTAAGCAAGGGCATGGTCAAACTGCCCCTTCTCCAGCCCTTCGAGTCCATCAGCCCAAGTCGAGGTTGGCATGCTCCGATACGGGTCCAGAAGAATCCGGAAGCACCTGACAATGAGGATGCCCAAGAAAATGAACAACAAAATCACAAAAACAAATGTGGTCTTCTGTTCCAGAGACATGCTAGAATCTGATGATGCGTTCTCAAGGGGCACTAGGGGGGAAGGGACGGGCTGTCCTCCATCCATCGTCCAGGGAAGCTAGAGCACAGGATCTCCCAGTTTCCTTTTCTTCCATCATCAGTCTACTGAGGTCATGGTGGCTACTGCACCTTGGACAGGCTGATTTATCTGCAAGAAGAAAGAAAGGGAAAGGAGAGGGAATAAACTACCAACGAGCAACTTTATTTCTGCGCTCACAGTCATGTTTTGCAGAGAGAAGAAGGAATCTCTAAACTTTTTCACCCAAGATGCTAAATTCTGTGTAATTACGGGAAAGAATATTTTACTCTTGCATGAAATTACCAGATTGTCCTCAGAGCAGCCACCTGGAGCCAGGAGGGATGGGCGGGGAAGACAACCAGAGTACAGAAGATGAGAAACGCGCAAGGTAATGTCGACCTCGGGGTGTGCTGCCAACTTGACATCCAAAGCCAGTGTCCCCTGCCAAATCTCTCCCAGACTCCCTCCAATAATATGACTTTCACATCATTCTTATAATGATACCATTGATGGAACACCAGCTATGTGCCAAGACTCTAGCTAGACACAACATAGGTTAGCCACTCTACTACAAGCTCCGTGAAAGCCAAGACCTCTAGAGCCTCTGTGGGAGGAAACTGAGGCTGGAAAAGGTGCTTAATACAGAAACTCCCGGGGAGTATCGAGTTCTGGGCTCCAGCCTCTGGCCTCCATTCTACTACTAAATGAGTGTGGGACCTTATAGTCACGAGGCTGTAAAAACGGAATCAGAAATGCCTGTGTATCTCATGGTGCTATAATGAGGATGAATGTCTGTGAAAACACTTCAGAAAGTATACAAAGAAGAAAGACAAACAAAACCAAGAGTCGCTTCACTTAAGAACTGCCTATGGGAGCCAGGTTGCTTCTTTCCTTTCTGTTGCCTCGGTCAAGGGAGAGAGGAGGCGTCTCAGACTCCCAGACTATCAAGCTCCCGCTGCTTGTCTTTTTTCTTCAGAAAACATAGACCAGGTTCAATACTTGACCCTGAGAAGCACCTCGAGAACTGAGCTAGGGAAAAGGGATCGATCGGCTGTATTTTTTAAAAAAAGATTTACAGTAGCTTCCTACTGTGTAAGACCACTTGAAAAGGAGGAAGACAAGGGAAAAGATAAGTTATCGCTATTTCCATTTTACCGGTGGATAAATTAAGATATATGAATATTACTGTTTGTCTTTAAAGGCAAGTAGGAGGGCATGCCTGGGTGGCTCAGTCGGTTAAGCATCTGGCTTCGGCTCAGGTCATGATCCCACGGTTGATGGGTTTGAGTCCCGCATCGGGCTCTGTGCTGACAGCCCGAGCCTGGAGTCTGCTTCAGATTCCGTGTCTCCCTCTCTCTCTGCCCCTTCCCCCGCTCATGCTCTCTCTGTCTCTCTCTCAAAAGTAAGTGAACATTAAACATTGTTTGAAAATTAAAAAAATAAAGGCAAGTTGGAGGATCCACAACGGCCATAAAAACTTCGGATATTTTGAGCTAAATCTATGTATGAGTCAGTTATAAGAAAAATTACACGGCACAGTAGTCAGCTATAGGAATTAGCATGGAATCAAAATAAATGATATTCAATTAGAAGAAGCAACCAAATGAAAATAAAAATGATGGCCTAAAGCTCTAATACAATATTTCTATAGTTATAATTGTTGCATTAGTAATCATAATAACAGTTTGCCTGTATGATGACACTTCGAAGTTTATAAAATCACGGTTTAAGGCACAGTTTATAAAGAGATTTACAACCAGTGTCTGGGAGGAAGGACTTACCAGTTAGGAGGAAAAAAAAATTTTGCAGCTCTATGACTAGATATTTTTCAGGCTGGAGTCGTTGCGGTAGATTTGTTTGTCATTCATTTTTATTTTGAAGTAAGATTATGATAAAATTTGACTATATTTCTTAAAAATAAGCTCCGTGGGGATATAGAGGATGTTGATGGATCGGGTTCGGTTTGGTGCGCTTGTTTTTAGGCACCCTCCCGACGTCGGGTGTTAATTCTCAGCAGATAATTGGGTGAGGGGAGGGGGCAGGAAAGGGTGGCCAGAACCTCCTCTGCAGCATCCTTAGTGTTTCCAGTAATGGGCCATCTGCACTCCCAGGAAATATCCAAACTAGACTTATTCATACCAAGTGTAAAATCCACCAAGGGGGGAGCACCTGGGTGGCTCTGTCGGTTGAGGGTCCGACTCTTGATTTCGGCTCAGCTCATGATCCCAGGGTCGTGGAACTGAGCCCCACCACAGGCTCCGTGCTGGGTGTGGAGCCTGCTTAAAATCCTCTCTCTCTTTTCCTCTGCCCCTCCCCTGGTTGTGCTCTCTAACAAATACAAATTAAACATTAAAAATAAATTACCAAGGCCTGGGTCAAAAGGAAGTCACATGCTGATAGAGGGAGAAGCGCCTAAGCCATCCCTGCCATGGTCCCTCTGGTCTCTCTGTGTCCTATGGAGGACCCCCTCGCTTTGACCCTGCCCTCTCCACTGACTTCCTGGAATCCCACTCTATGTCCATTTTCCCTCCAGCCCGAATGAGGCCAGAGCCGTTTTCTTTGTCTGTTCTTAACACGGCTGAGGTAGGTATGACTTTTCTGGAAGTTCTTTACGGAAACATTATGTAAGCCAGAAAGGAGATACAGGAGAAGTGAAGGCCATTAACTGTGTATACACACAACATAAAGATTTCTGGATCTGTGAAGTTCATTGAACCTGGTGAACAACTAGACATAGAACCATTTGAGCCTGTGACGGCTCCCTTGACACAAGCTGGGGGGGGGGGGCTAATATAGCAATACCTTGGTCAGCCTTTCCCTTCTCACCTCCGGTGTCCGCTTGATGCCCGGGAGCTGTCTTCCCCAGCCTTGTCCTTCACACAAGGCAAAATGCCAACTTCTTTTCTCCCAGCTCATACTTCCTAGGCTTCCTCCAGAACTCAGATTTTCGAGCTGGTCCACCATTCACTTGGGGGCTGCAGTGATGGGTAATCATTCCAAGAAGCCCCAGCAAGTTACCTAGTCATCCTGATTCACATTATCAGCTACGTTTCCCTTTTCCGTCTCCCTGTCAATGAGTCTGGAGCCTGGCTTCTTCCCAGGGAAGTCAACTCTTAGAAGGATCTAAAAATCAGTTTTAATTTGCAGTGTTACCACCCTCTGCTGATTAAAGGCAGATGCTGTGATATGGTTAACCCTCTCTACAGCCTCATCACATGCTTTTTACAAGCCTGCCAAAATATAAGTATATATCCTCCAACCCCTTCGTCACCAACCCCTTGCTGACAAACCAAACTGATGAGAAAACGGAGATGAAAGTATTTCGAAAACTCCACAGCCCTTTATAAACTGCAAGCCTCTCCCCTCCCACCATGCTGTGATAACCCACTTCCTATTAAAATAACTTCATCTGGTCAAATCATCAAAGCCTGTCATTAAATTGCAATATTTTACCAAGGAGAATGACACATGAACACGTTAACAGGAATTTGTCTAGGAAAACTGCTTTTATTTGAAGGAGGGGAAGTGTGGTAGACTGAAAGGAGAGTGAAGGGTCTTTCCGGAAGTGAGGGGCCATCGGGGTTGGGGGCAGCAGACATGAGGTTCTGTGGGCAGATGGCCCAGGAGGAAAGTCCTGGAGAGGGTGGGGGATGATGGGTATAGATGAGAAGATCCGGAGATTGTTCATCAGGGTATATGGGGGATACATAGATCCAGGAAGAAAAGCCAGCTCTTGCCCAAGCTTTGCCTGGGACTGATTGAAATCCCTGGACGAGCCTGCTTGATTTTAAACCCGCAATCAGCTAATCAATAATTTACAAATTTGGAAAGCTCAACAGCACATCCAAGTTAAAGGAAGCAGCGGACAGAGTAAGATGCAGAAAAAGAAAGAAATGTAATCACTTGACTGCCCCAGTACAAAAAATATTCAGAGACATCAAGATCTTTTAAAACGTCTACCTTAGCGTGAAATGTCCCTTGTTGGCAAAAAACGATCCTTAGAAAATGTTCACGGGTGCTTTTACCTGAATAATGAAATCTTCCTCTGAGGTGAATAGAGAAATCTGGGCAAGTAAATTATTTGAAAGGATTCTGACACAAGCATCCTAAGTGCTAACAAAAACAAAAGGCGGTTGTTTTAAGTACAAGAAGGACCACGGTACTCACGGCGGTGCTTTAATCCTAGCTGGCATCCCCGTCCACGGCACACCCCTGTCTCCCCTTTGCAGGTCTATTTGCGTGTACTCAGGACACAGCAAAGTCTAATTTTCATACCGGACCAAGGAAGGCTTAATTAAAAGAAGCGCTTCTCAAAAATCATATACCACATTCCTTTTCTTAAGTCAAACCCCCGGACTCTGCGATGGTCACAAAGTGTAAAACCCCCGCATTACTTACGACGCCCCAAGTGAGCAGCTCATCTTAGCCATCACCATTGGCACTAATAGCCACTCGCCTTACTTATAATAATTTGCAGAGGCCTGTCTTCCTTTCCTCATGCTTCTGACACACTGCGTCAAATTCATCTCTCTCAGCTCAGAACCCAACCCTTCTTCCCTCGGAAAACCTTTGGGCTCCGATGTCCAAGGACCCTGACTGCCCATTAACCCCCTTACAGACAGACCTGATACCCCTGTTTTCTCGACTGCAAGATTTAGGTCATCTTCTGCCAATGGAAGTTTTGTAAGGCATTAATTTATTTTCCTAATAAGTTTCCAGAACAACAAACCTCAAATTGCATTTGGTCCGGAGTCAAATGACCAAGAGGCAAAAACTTACGTGTGACTGAGTGTGCAGACACCTGAGGAGGCCGTTCTCACTTGGTTTGCTCTGCAGCTCTACCTAACACAGGCTGTTCTTTGAACTCCTCCAGGTTTCCCACCTCTGAGCTTTTAGTCATGATGCTCTCTGCCTGATGCCCTCCTCCTCGCTCTCTTCGCGCCTGTGGGTTTCGCTCCCTCCCTCAGGGTTCACACCAAATACCCCCTCCCTGGTGGGGCCTGCGTCTCTCTCCCTTCACCAGAGCGGCCAGGGTGCCTCCTGCTCTGTCCCCTGGAGCCCCGCACCTGCGTCCTGGGGCAGCACCTCGCACAGGGCAAGTCTCCGCGGTGTTCAACTCTGTCTCCTTAGGAAACAGCAAGCTCCTTGAGGAATCCCTTGCTGCTCCGGGGTCACTGCCTTTTTAAACAGAGTTTCAATCAAATCTCTGGCCCCTACCATCCAAGGAACTGAACTCAAACTTGGAGGTGCCAGCTGATAGAAAGAAGGGGTGAAAAATCACATGTCATCCAGCTCGACTGGGACGTCAGACCTTCATGTTTGCAATCGGTCTGATTTCTAAGAATACAGACAGGTAGTCTGGGTCACTGTGACTCTTCATCAGTCTTGGATTTCATGATTTGAAAAGCAGGTATTTGGCTTTTTACCCTTTCCTTGGTTTCAGTGCTGATGGATAGGGTCCCATCAAACAGAGAAATTTGCACGTGCCTTTCTGTTTCAGGGCTCAAGTCTTTCTTAGTTAATTGGCCTTGTGGGTGGGGAAGAGCTGCCATTTAAAATATCCTGAATCCAGATGTCCTACCTGGAAACTGTAAATGTCAACATGACCCTCCGTCGAGCTCAGCTCATTTGGACATTTCATTGCATGAGCATCGCATGATACCATTTAACAGTAAGGAAAATTATTTTATCTGGAAAAAATAGACCTTAAAGCAATGATATATTTCTTTTCTTATTTTTAAAGTGACAGCCACAGAATTAGTTCAGCGCATTGGACACATCGCTCTGTGGAGCATTTGATCCCACCATCTCACTTTTGTGGGGATCCGTTCCCATACCCCCTCTCCTGCAACGGGCTGCAATGATAATAGCTACAATGGATGCATGTCATGTGGAGTCCTGCCCGGCTCATAGTGGGCGTTCAATAAATATGTGATGATGCATAGCATTTTCTCTGTGTGCCGTTTTTTTGTGCAAAATGAGGTTTATCTCTAAATCCTATTATGCAAACAAGCACACCAGGGAGCGGAGATTATAAGTAAACTGGCCCAAATCATAAAAATCAGTTACCAAAGGAGAAGCATCTCCCCAAGGATGCTGACTCACAAGTTTCTCTCCGGCATGTCAGAATGAGTAGAAAGTCGGTCGTCCCCCCGCTGCTAATGGTATGCAGGGTGCAGGCAAGCCATAGTGTCTGTATTTTTAAGTACCTCTAAACCACGTAAGCACCGCACCTCATTTTTAAAACTTCTAAGCCAGAAACCTGGTTATGTGACTCGACATGTTTTCCAAAAGTAGATGTAAAAAACAGCGTGTCTGTGGAACAAGAACACTCCCAGGTTTGTATAGTTTACGTTGACATTTAACGGACAGGACACTCTGTGCTACAAAGACATCCTGTGTACCTTATTTATATTTATCTGGCAGACTAGCGAGACCAATTTGTAGACTGTAACAGGAAGGGAATTGACTGGGTAGGCAAGATTGAATTTGCAATGACCAGCAGAGACAAACTTCCTCAAAGTGCTGCATTATTCTGCTACAGTTCTGAAACTGACTGTTGAAATGTTAGCATGCCTTTGGGTGATTAACGGTGGTACATATCCTGAGACTGAGGCTAAATAGAATCACCTCTACTTTTTTGAGCTAAACAAAACCTCAGCTGCATTGCTGTTTGCATAACTGGAGTGTCTGGAGATACACTCCACCCTCTGTCCCAACACACCCACCCTGGATGTGTAAACATCCCCATCAGCCCTGTTATATATCTCCCCCTACAACTAACTGTGAGCCCTCCACAAAAGCCACCTCATCACCTAAGTAATCAGATCACTACATAAACAAAAGCTATTACCTATGAATCTTGTGGAAATTCTGTGTAGGAACGCAGTGAACAATAATTTGCATTCCAGGATATACACACAGGGATGCAAAATATTTCCCATAAATTCAGAGAACTCATGGCCCTCTTGGTGATCAGCCCAGAAATAAATTCAGGTAAAGATTTCCTGGCTCTTTCTAGGTACTTCATGTATGTGAACCAACATACACTCCCCTCCCTTTTTTTTTTTTTTTTTTTTTTTGGCTCACATAAATGTATGGCAACCTCCATATTTTTCTTTTCTGAATACGGACTTCTTGATCCAGTACAATAGCACTGATGTTTCAGAATTCACAGGATGGCTAAGGACAGATATTATTTTACGCACTGAACAAACAGACCCCAGGCTACTAAAAAGCCCTAAAACAGTGACTTTAAATACATGTGGATGTGGTCAGCTACAAATGTCAACAGGCAGTTTTGGAACTGTCGCCAGCCGTCACTGCTGCAATGAGAGGTCTGTTCCCTCTGACTGTCACTGCAAAGTCAGCCTGCAGATGTCTGCTTGGGTTTGGGAGTGGACCCTGTTGTTCTGGCTCACCAGCTCTGGGTCAGCACAAGAGCTTTCTCTTCAGCCTGAGCCCTAACCTCAGCTTTACTTCTCCCCTGTCTTCATTTTCCTCCTAACATCTGCTAGAAGAGTTTCGAAGGGACTGCAGGGCAAGGCTGCAGCCTTGCTGAGAAAAATCCCACGTGAGTGCCCAGTCAGTACGTGGGGGTACCAAAAGGCACCAGTAGCAAACTGGAACTTGTAACCTCATACAATACACCTTACTGTCATACCCAGTTTTCTTTCTCTTTCCTTGTGTGTTTCCTAATGCAAAAGGGTGCTTGCTGATACCTCAGAAGGCTGGAGCTGCACAGGGCTCACCACGCAGGGGCGTCAGGGATGGTCAGCATCATCATTATGAGTTGTTGAGTTGTGATTCTTTGTGAACAAATTAAAACATCCCTGTTACATTTTGGGAGGTTGGACGTTTTAGGTGAATGGGAAAAAAAAATACTATAATGGACAAATAGCTTTCGAGAATAATTTACTGCAGCTTAGCAAAGAAAAAAGCCTATTTTACTACTCTTTTATCCAGTATCAGTAGCATAAACTTAAGCATGCTTTAAAAAGAAAGGCACCATTACATTTCACCCCCCTCGTATTAACTTTACCCGGCAACTGTTTAATTAGTCTTTACCTGACATCTAGATCTAAATTCAGAACTTGGATCCAAAAGCATCTATGTGATCATTGCTCGTGCATGAATCGTAAAGTTAGAGAAAAGCATTAATTAGCCCATCAAAGACACAGTGTTGGTCAAGTACCTGGGTCTGGCTGAACAAACGCTTGATCCATTTCCTGGTGGAACAGTTACAGGTAGTTACAAGCCTCTTTAGTTCCCATTCTTCCCGATCAAGCTGTGTTGAAGCAGTAGACAGTGGTAGCTGCTAGCAGCTGATGGCACACCCCAGATCTAAAGCTGTTGTTTCAGGCTTAGAAACTTCCCATTAAAACCCCCGAGTTAAAGGAGCATCGCCTTTCTGTGTGAGGCATCATTAGCGGCCAATACGGCTGCTTCTTTGTGGCGAGCCATGATTTCAGTTCTGCCTCAGCAACTCTTCAGAGGATTCTGCTTCAGTGAGTAGAGGCAGTATCCTAGCAGTGTGTCTGAAATCATCTTCAAGAAAGCATTAACATTCAAAAGGAGTCCGGGGGGGGGGGGGGGGAAACATCACAGGGCATTCCCATACCTTTTCAAAATCAAAGCCATAAATCTACCAGTACTCTGTTCTTCTGTATCGATTGTTGACACGGTTCCTCTTTGGGGATGTCAATTAGCACCTTGCAGCGACCAGCCTCCATATTGATTACGGTTTATGACCTTCGGGCCAACTTAATTAAGAGGAAGACTTCTAAGGAAGGGCATCAACATAGTATTTGGGAAATGAAGGAAAGGCTGTTTTTCCTAAAGAAAGCAAAACTGACCTTTCAGAAAAGTGGTAATGATAGGAGGCAAAAAGGAAAGAACAATTTAAAAAATCATATTTTTACCACCTGTTTGTAAATTTGCTAGGCTATAGTTTTCCAGGTCCCGTGTATCATTGGCCGGCCTGCGTAATTGTGACCTTGGCCCATACCCCACCCCACACAGGCTGTCAGAGACTGCTGATGAATAGAGCTTTGGTGAGAGAAAGTTATTCTAATTCTACAGATTCTAGTTACATGGCACAATACTTAAATTATTTTCCTTGGATAGAATGCCTAAATAAATTTGGAAAATATTTTAGGATAAAATTCATCTTTAAAAAAAAAATTGCTTCTCTGGAAAGAATTCAACACAATCCCTAAGATGGAACATCCTTGTTTTTTGGCAACTCACCACTTTCTTTGTTGAAGTGGAAACACAGTTAGCAACAACACCCACCCACCAAATGATGGGGTGCATGGTATTTAAAGCTCACTCCGACTGTGCCTGTCAGCTTTGCTGTCTCTTTGGCTCTTGCAAGAAGCCGGCCATTACCCGGTAGCTGTAGGGGCCTGGAACAGAGCTCATTTTCTAAGAAGAAAATTTCCATCTGCTAGCAACAGACAACAATCCTGGATAGACCTCAGACCCAAGAAAATGTCATTGCCAAATGTTATGATCTAATGTCAGAATCAAACGCTTGCCATTAGAAGCTAAGCCCACCAGAATATGAGGGTTCTCTACACATATGTTTTCAAGATTTTTAACTGAATCTCCTTCTGTTTAGTTTTTCTGACTGTTTTACACACACACACACACACACACACACACACACACACACAGAGCAATGGGACAAATGAAATCTGACAAAGCACTATCATTCAATACTAACTGGTATCCTCTGTGCTTTTCAGCCGTCGGCGCTGGTAGATGGAGGGACCTGTCTCGGTAATGCCCACAGAGTGTGGCTCAGGGAACATTCTGACCCCACCCTTACTTATCATTCCATGGGCTGAGAAAGCGCTCTAGTTAGAAATGAGCCTGAGTTACTGTGAGCTCACCCTGCCCATGAGGCCTCCTCAGATATTGTTTTCCTCTACAGACTCATAGAGGTGGTAGAGAACATGAGAGGCCAGGGCTGCCCTTCAGCTCCCCCGCAGGCTGAAACCATCCCAGAGAGATGAGTGCCTGGCCTATTTTTAACACTCTCCAGAGAATTAGATTCCATACCCTGCTCTCACAACCTCTGTTTAAACTAACGTCTCCGTTGCTTACTTAGTCTAAATGGGATGGCATATTTCCTTTTCATGATATCCTAGCGGCAGAAAGTCAGTCATTATCCACCATACAATTCTGTGAGAGCGCTCTTCCCCCAAGGAAGCTGAGCTTGGTCCACCAAAGAACATTTGGGGAAGGTCCCACAGCGAAGGTTGGCTGTTTCTTTTATAAGATCATTGTAATTGAAATTATAAGACTG